TGTGTCTACAGTACTAAATAGGTAATAACTACTACTGCACTATCACGATTGGGAAATGAAGATTAGATTAGGAAAGAAAGACCCTTAAAGTTTATTGGATTCGAGACACGTCGACTCGTTTGCTGTCAACAGGAATGAGATGAGCGCCGCGTAAGCTGTACATACATACCTCAGCTTGGAAGATGAAAGGTCCCGAACAAAGAAATCTCGATTCGGATTTGGGGTGGTGTAGAAGGACTCACGAAACTGTTTCGTTGCCTGTAAATCTGGGTAAATTCTTGCGGTGTCAGCTCATCTAGGCTCTGTGTCGATAGCCCGGAAGAAAAAAGGACAGGCGATTGCATCCATCACGAATGGTTTTGGGAAGAAAGATTCGACTTATCGACTGGATTGTTTTATTTCCTGTCGGAAATGAGATGAACACTGTACGTACGCGCTTTGAAGGTGGCGAACTAAAAAAAAAGGGCTCGATGTCAGATTTAGGGTAGGGTGCAAAACAGCTCACGACATGAACTGTTTATTGTACTCATAAATCTAGAGTATCAGCTCACCCGACCCCCCTTCGCATCGACAGCATACTTACAGCAAAGGAAAAATTGGCAACGCAGACAGGAAGCATTTACTTAATGTACCCCACTTGAGAAACAAAAAGAGAAGGTACAAACCTGGATTCCGGGCGTGTTCAATTATGTAGTCTGGCTTTTTTTTCGCCGTTGGAAGACGCACAGGTTATTTAGTCTCTTAGCGTTCTTTTTCTTTGGAATGTTCTTTGCGGCATCGGTTGAGTTGGGTTGGGGTAGAGTTGGTCGATAGGACGTATGTATGTAGGTGTTTGAAAAAATGTAGCCGGTCAGTTTCCATTAGCGACAGAGAAAGGGAAGCCCCACCTAGCCCCCGTGCCCAAGCGACAAGTTGACTAGCCAATTGCGATCCTGGAAATATTCAATTCGAGATGATTCCCGCTATCGGCGGAGACATAGAAGGGGGAGTTCATAATTTTCTCATAAAGAACTCAAAAATAAACAGAGAAACAACTTGCTTGACTCCAAGCATGGAGCCAACTTCGACTTCACAGATGGAAGGATTCAGCTGCAAAGCAAACTGAGATGATGATCATGTTCGTATTGCGGAAAAGATGCGGAATACAACACTTGCCTAATATAGTTTGAGGGAGTGTGTTGGAATCATTCCGACATGTGAGATTAAGGTTATCTCGGTGGCTGGGTGGTTTAACGGGCATTATGGATAGTAGGGACGAGGAAAAGTATGACCGGTTTACATTGCGCTGAGGTCAGAGAGAAAAGATGATCAGGAATCGATGTGAACTTTTGCTCCGCGATATTCTGGGGTCGGAGTCAGTACGAGCATTGCACAGGAATGGATTCATAGTTCTTCTAAGTGGATGTAGAAGGGATAATTAATGATGGTTGAACGTTCGAGTAGAGGCTCAGCTGAGCTATCCCAAGTTGTAGGCATCTACGGAGAATATTTGTTCGTGCAAAGCAGTGGCTCGTGGGGGGCAATGAAAGATCGCGCAAGCTCCATACTCATTCGGGAAGGTAGCGATTGATTTCCACCGTCTGAGGTTTTATCTCGACTCACTTTTCTCCTGGGTTGAGAAGGAGAAGAGGGCACTATGGACGAGTTTAGCAGCCAAGATCAGCGTGCGGCGACAGATAGACGGGGATAATGAATTCAGTGCGGTATCGCCTATCTGGCATGACACGAAAGGTACATACAGTAAATGTCAAGGAACTGATGATATTCATGACCGCCGTGTCCTTTTGAATGACACCTACGTCCATTGCCAGTGTCTTTTTACTTCATGAACGTGAATGATGACATACGCACTTGATGATACAGTGCCTGTGGTCTGCCCCAAACTCGAGTGTTGGGCCAAGCATCTGGAAGATACGTGCCGAAATCTGAGCTCACTTTGGTCCTTTAAAGTTGGAACAAGTTTGGAAGGACCCGAATCATGGACAGTAACCGAGAATGGGCCTGAAAAGGAAAAGCAGCAGCCACTAAGAAAATGCGAAACCCACCAGGGAAGCGAAGGCACTGCGAAATCACTGTATCATCCCTACAGCAATTATGTACTTAAAACGCAGGTGGCAGAGCACAGCTATATGATCAAGCTCAAAACTTGATCGCAACGCTCAAAGCGATACAGTACGGAACTGATTAAGTAATATATACAGCGCCTGTTTTTTTTTTCCATGGGTCGTCTCGTCACTGACCGTTTAATTTCTATCACCGACTCCGCCTCCAACTTTATGGCTATGAAAGGCAAGATATAAAGGAAAGCAACGGTGCAATATCTCTGGCAAAAAAAAAGCCAGAGTCGTCTTGGTTGTCTAGCTACGTTAAAACACGCAGTAGTAATCTGAATAGCTTTTTCTGTTATTTTTCCATTCCATGTATTCACAGCACTCATACGTCCACACATCTGCATCAAGTCTATCACAATCATCACAGACTAATAGCGGTGGATGGTCTCATCTTCCCCGTGTATCTTCTGTAAGCATATGAATCCTTCCTCTCACACCGGAACTGACATATAAAACCCCCTTGTCTTCCGTCTTTCATTTCTCCATTCCATTTCCTTTGCCTCAAAACATATCCACCCTATTCTGCCATGCATCCTCCGGCCTACTACCAGCGTACCCCAGGAGATGTTCCCTCCGCCGTTCGCAACCTCTTGCTGTCCATGAAACAGCTGCAGGATATACTCAAGCATTGGAGCGTAGGCCAGGCCTCGGAGACTCAAGTCAGCGACGTGTATGTCCAGATTGGTACAGATTTCAATGCCACCGTGCACGCTTTCGCGTACCATAAGATCGATCTCAGGTCCGTCTTCTTTTCTCCGATGCGAAAACCACGATTCGAGAACTAATTCATTCCGCTTTTTTCGCGTTTTCCCACTTCCCTAGTGACATCCACTCCATACCCAAGGATCTTCGTAATGTCCTCGAACAATGCCTCGCTGAAGACCCTTCCCCGCAAATCCTTGCCGTGTTCATGCCGCAGGTTCGTCAGGTCCTATATAGGCTGCTGCGGGGTTTGCAGGCCCGTCAGGATGCTTGGCGGGCAGTAGGAGGTCAAATGCCCATGATCCCATTCGACCCTCGGTGAAGGGTCAAATGTTCTATCTTATCCTTCGAGAAAAAAATCCAACCAAAGTCCGCGTCGTCCATATACATTACATTACATGTTCGCTGGGGTCCGGGTGCATATCGAAATTGCTTTACTCGTGAGTTTGGCGATAAATTATTTTTCTTCTATGTAGAATCTTTGACAACACTTACGATATATACCCCCTACATACCTATCCCGCATTTTGCTGTATTTTCTTTTCCCCTCCCCTTCTCATTATCTTCGTGCATTACCCATTGTTTTAATTCAACTGCAATATTCGCTCCCGAACCTCGTGTATCCTTTTTCGCGCCTCTCTCCTCCCACTGTAATTGTTATTATCTGCCTCGAATCTTTCTCCATACCTTTTTCGTTTCCTTCTAGGCTTGCGACAAAAAGTATTAGCGTCAACTTTCAAAGTAAATTATTTAATTTATTTCGTCCCGTAGAGTATAGTAACATACGTATATACTTACAACAGCTATGTAAATTTTATTTTACAGAAATAAAGTTTTGTTCTATGTAGAAACTTCAGGAATACTTGTCCTAGGCCTGTTATAATCGTTCCATCGTAGTCGCGGTCTACTACCACTACAGTACATATGACTATCCGACCATGGGTTCGAGATCGAGATAGGATGTGAAAAATAACGTTATGGAATAGCTGTAGTTCTCCTTCTTAATGTAGGCCACTTGCGTTCCGTACTCGTCAAGCTTTCTATATATACATGCGGTATACATATATGGCGTATACATACGGTATATAGAGTCCCAGGCCCGCCGCCGCCCTTCCTCAGCTGATCTGATTTGACAGCTTCGGTCGTACTGTATACAGTATAGTTGTATGTACGGCTCCGTAGTTGGACAATAGCTGTATACGGCTACAGCTGCGCTACTTGTATTGGGGTATAATTATAATTGTTCTAAGTATTGCGTACTAGGAAAGGGTCCTTCCGTTATCGTTCCTGCGAATTTATGTATGTAGTGGTCACGATATGCTGCGATATCATGACACGACGCGCTTGTGCGCGTGTGTATGAGAAGAGAAAAGAAGAGTCAATTGTAACTTTGCGCTCGTGCAGCATGGGCGCGTCATATAGTACGTACGGATACTAGTATCGGACTAGACTAGACTTTCGGAATGGAATTACCGACGACATACTACATACTACATATGTGTACTCTTCTGCATATATTATATATGTGATATGTATACGTATATGTCACGCAGGTTCGTGATATTTCCAGAGGTTGAATGCATATGGCTGCGTTCTTCTTCTTCTTCTTATGTTCATGAGCTTAGAACGTCCGAGGAGTCTTTCGTCAATCCGTTCCCCCCCTAGGGTTCTCGTGCTCTAGCCTCCCAGGCTCCCAATTCGGAATTCGTTCGGAAGTCGTCTGGAATTGGCTAAGCTTGGAAGGGTTCGAAGCGTAGAAGCGTCAAAGTGTCGAAGCATCGAAGCATCGAACGATTCTTTCTTCTGAAGATTGGACTTGTGACTTGGGCTCATAGGACCGCGATGCGATGCGACGCGAGGTTCTGGGCTTCCATCGACATCGATGGCGATAGGGAGTTTGGCTAGGACTAGAGCTCTTCTCTTCCCATGCTCCAAGTACGGCGGTGAATTCGATTTACTTATTGGAAGCTTCGTGCACTGGAAAGACTATTTAATATTACTACCACTGCGTAAGGATATTTTCGTAGTAGTACTGAGCAAAAAGTAGCTTTCCTGTCGAATAAATGACTCTTAGAGCTTAGAGCTTAGAGACTAGAGGGACATGTAAAATCGGTTCGAGTAGTTTCAAATGTTATCGCCGGCGGCCGAATCTGTATAATGGGAAGTTTGAAGGTGTCCACTCACAATGGTTCGATGGCGTAGTTGGTTATCGCATCTGTCTAACATCCTACATCCAGCGGTACTACACAGAAGGTCCCCAGTTCGAGCCTGGGTCGAATCATGATGTTCCAGTTTGTTTTTGGTTTACAGCTCTCCAGATTTGTACTTGTCATCCGTTCCGATTGATTTTGAATGCAGCGGCTTCTCAAGTATAGAAAGACTGCCTTCATTCATTCATTCATTTCTTTATTTCGTTTTTGGTAAAGTACAAGTATATTTACTCTGGGCCAGACCTTGACTAAGCGTACCACGAGATCATTTCAATCTTCGTCCTCGACCCTCAGGATCGTTTAAGTGTCTGAAGCTTTGATTGTTGCTCGGTACGCCGAGAGATGTCATCGCGTTTATTTGTAGATAATCGTTTTCAGATCGGCACGTTCAGAGGGCATCTTGGGGCAATCGGAGACGCGTAATAGGCAAGTGAACATTCTAAGGCTGTCGAGTCTGCGTCTCCTTGCGATGTGAACAAGTTCATAGAACGGATCATGGATGTTCCTGAGGACCCTTCGAAAGATGGACCAGTTATAAGCAAACTATGTACGTTCTCGACTCTCAGAATACCGAACGGCCTTCCCCACACTCTTTGCTCAGTCCAGGCCGAAGACGCAGACGTCGTCATTCAATCCTCCGATAACGTTGATTTCCATCTTCACAAGATAAACCTAGAATTCGCTACAGGAGGGTTCCCGAGCGCCCAGACGCCTACGAATGGGGAGGTGGTAAATCTACCAGAGACATCCGAAACTCTCGAATTTCTGTTCCAGTTTGTCTATCCTCAGCGGCATCCTTCGCTTGATCGGTTGGGATTCGAGAAGCTGTTGGAGCTGGCTGAGGCTGCGGAGAAGTATGAGGTTTATGGGGCACTCACCGCGTGTCATTTGACGTTGAGGTGGGTACTCGGAACGCGATGCACCGTTTCCCCTCTGTATCGCTTTCGGATTTTGTTTCTGATTATTCTTTTCTTCCTTTCGTGACGTGAAGGGAGTTTTTACACAGTCACTCGAAGCAGGTGTTGAGATTTGCTTGCGCACATCAGATTATCCCTCTGGTTGAACGATTGGCACCGATTATGATTGACATACCTTTGGCTGATATAAAAGAAGCTCTGGCGATGTGTCCCCACTTTTTTGTCGAATGGGTGCGTTTCTACCATAGAGCTATCGCTACATGGCCATGTATGCCTTGCTGCGAGGATAAACTGTACTAACAATCATCTCCATCTCCCTTTCCATATCGTCAGAGTCTTTTCCGAGAACAATACCTCCAACTATCAATCGCCCTAGCCCAATCTCGTCCCCAACACCGATGCGACAATTTCAACATCTTCACTCGCGTCGTTTTGCAAAAGTTGGACAAGCCAAGCAATCTTATGATGCCGAACTTGGAAAATTTGTTTAATATAAGGACTATAGGAGGGCTGGAAAATTTGCAGGTGTGTTGCATGCAGGAGTCGAGGAAGTGGTATTATAGTGTTAGAGAAAGAGTGGCGAAGATTCCTGACTTTGACCTTTCTGTGGGGAACGGTGGGTAAGCGTGAAGGTGGATGGCTCGTGAGTATAAAAGGGGTTGGGGATGGTTTTAGATATACTGTGGCTTGATCGTTCGTAACCCTGTTGATTAATGGGTGACTGGGAGAATGTCCGATGCACACAAGTCCCCAACATACCAGGATGTAGTTATATCGTTTTCCTTTGCTCATCCCTGTCTCTTGTTGATAGACTCTGCATCCGATTTTCCGCTTTCCACTCGAGTTGGAAGTGAACTGGCCTGGTCTTGACCGAGGGTACTTAAGTTATAAAGAAACATACACAAAAGCTAGGGACGTGCAGGGTTGGGTTGGGTCAGCAAACATCTGATCCCAACCCAACATCTGGGACCAGGTCAGCCTGGGTTGGGTTTGTGTTGGGATCAAAGCTGGGGTCAACCCAGGTAGCCAGCAAAAGCCATCCAGCTGTGAGTAAAGATACTTGGTTATAACTGCAGGAATCAGTATTGAATTTGTGGATTAGAATACGAGCCCTACAGCTATGTTTGCAGTTGCCCTCGGGTCAAGGGTCAGCAAAAATTTTGACCCAGACCACTGACCTAACAGCGGGGTTGGACCATGGGTCAGCAACCTGACCGTGCACATCCCCAATGTCAGAGGTGTCAAGAGGGCACCTTTTACTTGAAGTTCTACTGAAAATAAGTAAAACTACCCTTTTGGTATTGGGATGACTGTTTGAGATGTACAAGTGCAAAACTAGGAATGAATACATTGATCCGGCATGGTTGGAATGGGAACCTGGCCCAGACCAAATCAGTGAAATCAACGAGCGCATCTTGCGCTTGCTTTTCTTCAATTCCCAATCACGACAGCCTTAAATTTTACTGTACACCCTTCTCCTCAAAATCCACTCACCCCAGAGGCTAGAAGGCATTCATTGATTTAATCTGGGCACAATGCTACGAGGCTGCTCTACCCTTTCTCCACTGAATACTGGTATGCTATGCAACAATGGATTATTTGTCAGGGTGTGATGTTAGTGCCTTGCATTCTCATTCAATCTGGGAGTCTATGTTTTTCCGCAATCTGGTCCTCAATCAACTGGGTTTGAAAAATGGATATGTATTTTCTGCTGGACCTTTAGTAGAGTCCTTAAAAACAACCACAAACCCTTGGCATTTCCTCTCATTGATATCTGGGAAATGGCATTCAAATTTTTATTCTTGGATCCCTTCTGCAGGGGCTTTCTGACACAATTTTATGTTGCACTGGCTCTGGCCCAGAGCCCTTGACATTGACAACATTTAACCAGGATTAAGTGTTGCCATTGCAAAGCTGTTCACTTACTGCTAAACTAAGCAATCAACTATCCAAATAATAGAAGGCAGTCTTCAAGTGGGACAACATGAGCGTTCCTGTCAAGCAGAGATTCTGAGGCCTCGTCTAAGTATAGATTGCTGGCCTATGACTATCTATAACTCGCATATGAAGCTTGCTATCTTAGCACTTTTCCAATTTACTCAAATTTCAATCAGGTACATTTTCACTCGGGTTAACATCATATTGTAACATTGGTCTGAATTCTTGATTACAGTCACTTACTGTTGTATTCCTATACAAAAGGTGTATTGCAACAGGTTGGAAGATCTTGTTAATATTTATCTGTGTGGAGCATGTTGAGACTCAGACTTTTGTACGGCGAAAGTTTCTTATATTGCTTAGTTTAGAGAAGTAGTAAATTCAATACAGTTGTTTACCTGGGGAACAACAACAGGAACATCAACCACTGCTTCATTTTGGCAAGGTTGCAGCAGTGTTGAGGGCATCACCATAATCACCACCCAGGACTTTGATATCTGCACCTCTCTCAAGCAAAAGCTTGACCACTGCCTCATTTCCATGGGCATCAGCAGCAGCTGCTTGAAGGGCATTGCTATATTGGCCACCCTGAAGATTAATATCAGCACCTTTGTCAAGCAAAAGCTTAACCACTACTGGATTTCCATGAGCATTTGCAGCAGCAGCTTGAAGGGCACTACCAAATTGACCACCTTGAGCATTAACATCAGCACCACTATCAAGCAAAAGCATGACTGCTGCCTCATCTCCATGGGGAATCATTGCAGCAGCTTGAAGTGCACTGCCATACTGACCACCACGAGCATTGACATCAGCACCCCATTCAAGTAAAAGCTTAAGCATTGGCTCATTTTGAGGGCCATTAGCAGCAGCAGCTTGTAGGACATTGCCATATTGGCCACCCTGAGCATTAATATCAGCACCCCTCTCAAGCAACAGCTTGACTATTGCTGTTCCTGGGGGAGATGAAGCAGCAGCCGCTTGAAGAGAATTGCCATATTTTCCACCCTCAGCATTGATATTTGCTCCGCTCTCAAGCAAGAGCTCAATCACTGCCTCATTTCCATAATATGCAGCAGCTCGAAGGGCACTCCCACGCTGAGCATGGACATCAGCACCATGCTCCAGTAAAAGCTTTACTACTGCCACATTTCCATCAGATGCGGCAGCAGCTGTAAGGGCATTGCCAAAATGACCACCCTGGGCATTGACATCAGCACCCTTCTGAAGCAAAAACTTTGTTATTGTCAGATTTCTATGAGCAGCTTGAAGTGCATTGCCCCAGAGGCCACCCTGAGCATTGATGTCAGCACCATGTTGCAACAAAAGCTCTATAGCTGCCATATTTCCATATACAATGGCAGCTTGAAGGGTATTGCCAAAATAGTTAGAACCACCCCGAGCATTGACATCGGCACCTTTGCTGAGCAAAAGCTTTATAACTGCCATATTTCCACCACAAACAGCAGCTTCAAGGGCACTGACGTATTGACCACCCGGAGCATTGATATCAGCACCTTTTGTGATCAAAAGTTCTACCATTCTCTTATCCCTGCCATGTATGGCAGCAGCACAGAGGGCACTACCATATTGTCCCCCCTTTGCCTTGACATCAGCACCCCTATCAAGCAGAAGTTTTACTACAATTTCATTTCCTTGTGCTGCAGCAGCTGCAAGGGCACTGCCATATTGACCACCTTGAGCATTGACATTAGCATCCTTCTGAAGCAAAAGCCTTACTACTGCCTCATTATTGGAATAGGCAGCAGCAGCAGCTTGAAGGGGATTGCCATATTGGCCACCATTGGCATTGATATGTGCATTATTCTCAAGTAAAAAGTGTACCAATGACTCATTTCCACAATATGCACCGGCTTGAAGGGCATTGCCATATTCACCTCCCTGAGCATTGATATCAGCCCCCTTCTCCACCAAAAGTCTCACTATACCGTTATTCCCCTGAGCTGCAGCAGCTTGAAGGGCATTGCCATATTGACCACCCTGAGCATTGACATCAGCACCCTCTTTAAGCAAGAGCTCTACTACTGCCTCATTTCCATGATATGCAGCAGCTTGAAGGGCATTGCCATAGTGACCATGACCATTAGTATTGACATCCACACCCTTCTCAAGAAAAAGCCTTACTACTGCTTCATTTCCATTGCTTGCAGCAGCTTGAAGGGCATTGCCAAATTCACCACCCTGATCATTGGCAC